CAGAATAACTATCCTAAGACCTAAGAATTGTTAAACAATTATTAGACAAGAAATTAAAGCAACTAAAACTCCCCTTTGATGATCCAAACTCCTGTCATTATTATTGAATTAGAGGATTAATGAAGCTAGCCACGGACTGCCATAAAAAATACTGCCATATTCAATACTCTGTTACAAGGTTCCATGGAGGATACTGTTCACGCTTAATCCTTCACGCTGCTGTCTCTCTGTTTCTTTTTCTCAGCGCCGTCCAGCTCGTGTGTGTCGCGTTCTGCCGTCAGCCCGTGTTGTCTGTGTGTATCCGCTCGTGGGTTTGTGAATAATAGGTTTAGTGGGGTCTTGTTCACGCCGCCCGCGTCTTCTCCCTCAGCGCCGCTTCACCCAGCTTCCCCTGAAGAAGAAGATTCAATTATTAGATATTAGGTTGGGGGGCAAAACGTTGCGTTTTGCTCCTCCTTTTATTATTATATTTTTTTAAAATTTATTTTTCTTTTATTTTTTTTAATATTTTTTTCATTTTTTTAATTTTCATTTTTATTTTTAAATCTTCTAAAAACCTGCAAACAAAATTAAAAAATAAGGTAGCATTAATTGTCCTCAAAAAATCACTTACTCACAATTAAACCAAAATATAACAATTTTGCCCCCTATAAAATAATAATTCAAAATAAAATAAATTAAATCAATTAATAATCAATTAAGGCTAAAAAGACTAATTAAGTTGACAAAACCCATATAAAAGATATCAAAATATATAAAAATAATTGAGTTTGTCATATATGCATGAGAAGGTAAGACAAAAATAAAAATAAATATGTATATAAATAAATAAGATTCCTACATGTGCATGGAATGTGTTTAGCCATCGAGAAAATGACATGAGCAAGATATGTTGGAAATTCAATTATTTACGATAATGTTTCTTATCTTCCACAAATGAGAATAGCCACACCATACATTATATACTACCTACTGTCCTTAATGCAAGCATGATGTTGTAAGTTCGAATCTTCGGTTAAAAAATACAGTGGAAAAAAATACAGTGGAAGCATGAGTTATATAGATGTCTTTATTTTAAACTTACAAGGAAAAACACACTTGCGATGTGGGCTTAAGGGAGACAAAGATGGTAAAAATTTCTGGCTGCCACTCAAATTTTTTCGAACTCAATTTCTGTCAATATATATTTCCCTTAAAAAAAGTCCTTGTGTGTCATTTCCCAAAAGTGCATTACCAATTACATCAGCGACCCATTTAATAATATTATGAAATTGGATCATCGGCCTTCAATTTTAATCCTTACAGGTCACAGTAGTGTTCATTCGTCATTGTCCTCCTTGCATTATTTATTGCAATAATTAATGCATTTACAGTGCAATAATGTACGGAACCTTTATGATCAGCCATCGAGATATATATTACAGGAAGATGTCCTGAAATTTTAAAACCCCATCAGAGCTCGGACCACCACTGTACTGACGTGGAACTGCACAAACTAACTTGGTTTTTTTTTTTTTTTAATTTTATTAACGGCAGCAAAATGATCATTAAAAATTGCAAAATAACTGAACTAAACATATTCTACTTGCTACTCAAATTTGTCCATTCTTGTGCTAAAGTAGACATTGTTCTTGCACATGAACCATCTTCACTTAGGGCTTTAGCAGCAGAATCTTTAAATACTTGAATTCTTCTTCGAAGTTCTCTGCCTTCATCATCTTCCATTACTATTTTCACAACTCTGGCAGCTTCCTCTCTCATTACAATCCCATTCTTATTCTCGTCACCTTTTGGCCTCACTGCAACCTTAAATTGCTCAGTTAGCATCACTGCGTTCATCCTCTGCTCTGCAAATAATGGCCAAACAATCATTGGCTTGCCATAGACCATAGCCTCAAGTGTTGAGTTCCAACCACAATGAGTCAAGAACCCACCAGTAGATTCGTGTTTCAGAACTTCAATCTGTGGGGCCCATGATGGGACCACAAACCCTTGGCCATTGGTTTTCTCTAAAAATCCCTTGGGCAAGTAACTGAGGGGATCATCCCTTTGTGCACTTAAATAACCCGAATTGGCCACTCCACTTGGAGCCCTCAAGACCCACAAGAACTTGTGGCCACTCATCTCCAGCCCCCAGGCTAGCTCGTCAAGCTGGTCCTTCGACAAAGTTCCACCACTCCCGAAAGAGATATAGAGAACTGAGTTTCGTGGCTGATGGCCCAACCATGTTAAACACTCTGAATTAGACTCATTTATGTTTGTCATTCTTGTCTGTATAATGGGCCCCACATGATAAACCAAAGGGTGGTTTTGATTACTTTCTTGTAGAGCTGTTACAACCCCTTGTTCCAAATCTACGAAGCTGTTCACTAAGATCCCATCTAGTAAACAGTATTTTTTGCATGCATGAAGGATTGTTTTGTAAGCTCCACTGGATCTTTCTTGAACTGGATCCATAAGATCCCTTCCTTGGAAGCTTATGCAACCTGCAGAAATTTAGATGTTAACACAATACCCAATTCAACTTGAAATACTTCGCCCCGAATTAAAAAAGATGTCTTTTGGTGTGAGAATTCAGCATATATTTATTTTGGAACCTGGAAGTTTCAAGGGTTGTGACAAGTCTCGGAAGCCAGTAGGAACCATCTCGTGATCCTCATCAAGCTCTGGAAAATGGAGGCAGAAACACAGTAAAGTTGTTGAACAAGGAAATAAAAGATATGACTTGACCTTGAGTTCTTTTGCTATGTCTATTGCTTCCATTGAGAAGTAATCAACAACCATAGCCACGAGGTGATGAGTTGCAGAATAGAATGAACTCAAAGCATGACGAAGAGATGGAAGAGAGAGTGTGACAGTGTTGTAAATTTGTGTTTCTGTGTCTTGAGCTTTGAGGTCTTCCGTGTTGATTTGTGGAAGAATAGTAAAGTCTATTTGTGGTGGGATAGATTCGAAGATGGAAATCGTAGCTGGAGAAGGAGGGCCAAGTGTAGGGATGAAGAAGGTGATGTGGAAGTGAGGTTGATGAACGGCGAGTCGTTTTGAGAACTCAATAAGTGGAAGGAGATGGCTAAAGCCTGGAGCAGGAACCATGGCTATGCAAGAGCTCTTTCTCTCCATTGGAAGAGTGATAGCTTGGGAGCTTTGGAAACTGGAAACTAGAACACACTTTTCTAAGTGATGGAATATGGAGTTCTTTTGATGCGTTTTTATAAGATCTTTTTAGCTAAATTTTTTGTATATAGAAATATGGATGATGCAGATTCAAAGTTTTACCGACCAAGCAGTGAGAGATAAAATATGAGACCCACATAAATTATTCATTAGATGTGTCATACTCATAAGTCTCTTTCGTTCACTTTGCACACTTTGCATGTGTTCCTTATAAATGATACTTCTCGGATCCTTAATATAATACATAATTAATTAATTTTGATAGATTAAGGATGTTAATTAAATTAGTTAATATGATTTTTTTCCCCTAAAATACCCTAAAAATTTTCCTAGTTTCCTTTCTATCTATTTTACTTGATTATTGTTAAGGAAATATTAAGAAAATTAATTTATAAAAAATTGATAAATATATGAAGTAAGTCTTACATATAGGACCAACATCAACTCTTCAATCAAGTCCTATAAGAACCAGAGGAGTATTACAATTCATTCATTTCTATAATTCTTTTCATGCACTGCAATATGTATTGAACCTTTTTAGCTTGCCCCCATAGGGGAAAAAAATGCCACCCCAACTTATGACACTAATTTTAGTTTTTAAGATTTAAGTAATATTAGGAACAAATTATTTTATGATAATTGAGACTTATCATGTAAGTAACTGGCGGAGAAGAAATTTATCCGAAATATAATTTATTAGGATAAAAAATATGAAGTGATAACAAACAGTATTAATGGCAAAAATGAGATAATAATTATATTGAAAAAAGTAAAAAATAAACGATATTGGAAAAAAAATAAAAAACGTTTTGGAAGGAAAAAAGAAGGAAAAGAAAAACCTGAAGAGTTTTAAAAAAATAACAGAAAGAATGAAAATGATAAGCCAACAAGAGTTGGTCCAGTTGATAAGAAATTGACTTATAACTCACAAGGCCATGAGTTTCAATTCTGTTGCTGATGTGAGGACCTTGTTTGTAGACAATCTGTAAATATTTCTGTAAGCGTTGTATGAGCGTGAAGGCATATTCTGGCCCAAAAAACTCCTTGAGATCCAACTTGTCTAAATTTTATTCATGTCTTACCAAAAAATAAATGACCAAAAAAAAAATCAAAAGGCGTAGTTTAGAGCTTACTTATCCAACGTCTTTTCAATTTCCACGGCAGTACACTGGCCTTTTCGGTATTCAAATCTAGCCTTAGTCACTATACTCCCTTCATCAATACTCCCTCTGGTTTTTAATGTTAATTCTATGGCTTCATTTTCGTGCTTGTTATGCTTCGTTTTGTTAATTTCCTGTCAAGTATTAGAATATGAGAAAAGTGCGTTACATCTGTATGGGTCGGAAAAGGAAAGTCCAGTAAATCGATTCCTATATCATTTAGGAACTCTTATGTTCTTCATTAACATATACGAATATAAAACTGTTATATATATTGTGATAGCTTGGACACGAACAAGAGATCAGGAAGATCAAAGATGTTGATTAGATGGGTATTTTGCCTCGTCAATATATATATTCCACGGTTTATTTCTGAGTATGTTTCTCTCTCTCTCTCTCTCTCTCTCTGATTTTTTTGAAAGCTATAAGAATTTGAGTTCGATCGTCCAATGAGAATGTATGAGGTATGGTTTTCTTTTATTATCATTTATTTATTCATTTTATCTGTGTGGAAATATTCTAGAATTAAATAATTAATGTTATATTTTATTAACGTTAATTCTAGCATATTTCCATAATCTGTTCCTTAAATTGATGTCTCTGCATTGTTAGCTTGCCAATTTTCATATGGAATTGAGTCCTCACATAGTCCGAAGAGTCATCAAATAAAGAAAAGGAACACATTTTGTAGGATTTGAATATATAGATACACAAAATTATTCTGTAGAAAACCTATTAGGATAAGATAACTCACTGATGAAGGAAAAACTAATGTTACTCAAATCTTTTTCATTCAAACGCTAAGTTAGAAAGCATCCTCGTAGAAGTTCCTTCTTCACTAGTGGCTTTAGCAGCAGTTTCTTTAAACACTCGAATTCTTGTTTGAAGTTCTCTGCCTTCTTCACCTTCCATTACAATCCTCACAACCCTAGCAACTTCCTCTCTCATTACAATCCCATTCTTATAATTCTCATCACCTTTCGGCCTCACTGCAACCTTAAACTGCTCAACTAACATAACTGCATTCATTCTCTGCTCTGCAAATAGTGGCCACGCAATCATTGGCTTGCCATAGACCATAGCCTCAAGTATGGAGTTCCAACCACAATGTGTCAAGAACCCACCAGTTGATTCATGGCTCAAAACTTCGATTTGTGGGGCCCATGATGGGACCACAAAGCCTTGACCCTTGGTTCTCTCTAGAAACCCTTTTGGCAAGTAGTCAAATGGGTTCTCCTTTTGTGCACTCAAATAAGCTGAACTAGGAGATGCACTTGGGGCCCTCAAGACCCATAAGAACTTGTGGCCACTCATCTGTAATCCTAAGGCTAGCTCATGAAGTTGGTCATGTGAAAGTGTTCCGCCGCTACCAAAAGAGACATATAGAACTGAGTTTTGTGGCTGATTTCCCAACCAAGTTAAACATTCTAAGTTCGACTTGTTTATAATAGTTGAGGTTGTCTGCAAAATGGGTCCTACTGGATGAAGAAAAGGGTATTTATTATTGCTTTCCTGCAAAGCTTCTATTGCCTCTCGTTCTAGATCTTGGAAGCTATTCACTATGATACCATCTGCAAAACGGAGTCGTTTGCTTGCATGAAGGAATGTTTTGTAGGAGTCACTCGATCTTTCTTGAACCGGGCGTGGAAGATCCTTGCCTTGAAAAGCCACACAACCTACAGGATTTTTTTTTTTTTTCCTGAATTAGAGGATGGGCACTAACGTACAGTCTGAGATTAATTGAACCTATAACCTCAGTTTTCATGTCATTAGACTATAAAATTAGACTATAAAATCATTAGTCATTTTTATACAAGTTGAGATAAAAATTTTCTCACAAACTTATTTTGATAATCATAAAACACTTTTAAAAAACCACTACAAATACCCCTTTACACTAATTCCCAATCCCAATATAAGTTCACTTTTTGAAATTTCTTTTAATTTATATGGCCAACATAATGACGCAAGTTGTTTACTCTTTCATAGAAAAAATAACAAAAATGATTACCATATGAAACTAAATTTATCACTGTTAAGTACATATTACTTAACATACGATCACTATCTATGTGATTTTATGTTTTGAAATTTGTTGAACAATCAAGTCATGGCTAATACCATTGAATTATAAAGACAAATTATATATATACACACATTTTATTTGCCTTGGCACGTCAAGGTCAAAAGGTAACCAAAGCATACAAGAAACAAAGAATATCTTTCAAAATGTTACCAGAGCGTTAAAAAAGGGACGCACAGACACAAACACAAAGTTATCTCTTTTTTTAAAAAATAATATATAAATTCATTACATCCATATCTAAATTGGTTCAGATAAAAGTTTTGCGACCTGGAAGTTTCAGAGGTTGTGATAACTCTCGAAAACCTGTGGAAACCGTCTCGTGATCCTCATCAAGCTCTGGAAGACGCAGGAAGAAAGATAGCGAAGTAACAGATGAAGAATGAAAAACATATGACTTGATGTTGAGTTCCTTTGCTATTTCTAACGCATCTACTGAGAACAAATCAGCAACCATTGCAACAAGATGATGAGTTCGAGAACTAATAAATGAGCTTAACTCACGACGAAGAGAAGGAAGAGAGAGAGTCACAGTGAGATGCATTTGAGTTACTGGGTCGTTATTATTAGCTTTGAAGTCTTCCATATTGATATGTGGGAGAATAATGAATTCTATTTGTGGTAAAAAGAGAGATTGGAAGATGGAATGTGCAGCAGGAGAGGGAGGGCCAAGTGTGGGGATGAAGAAGGTGATGTGGAAGTGAGGGTAGAAAACGACGAGTCGTTTTGAGAACTCGATGAGTGGTTGGAGAAGGCTAAAGCCTGGAGATGGAACCATGGCTATGCAAGGGTTCTTTTTCTCCATGGAAGATTGTTGATGGCTTTGTTACTACTAAACGACGCTTTTCCTGAAGATGGACGGACTTGGATGGATCACTCTGAGTTGTCCCCCCCCCCCCTTTTGGGTATATGTATACATATATACACACACATTTCAATGAACACATAAAAAGCTGAAGTCGAAAAAGAAGATAAGAATGCTTTCTATCTTGCTGCTGTTGCTGTTCACCCACTGAAATTTGACGAGCTATTGGCAAAAACTATGAGATGAGAAAATATATATATATATATATATATATATAAAATGAAAAAAACTATCAGCATGAACCGATCGATTCCCAAAGCCGGCGCCAATTGTAACTTAGCTTGTACGGTCCGCAATATATTGCACATTTTTTTCTTATGGGTATATATACACACATATTGCAATGTACACATAAAGAGCCGAAGTCCAAAAAGATAAGAATGCTTTCTATATTTCCGCCGTTTTTCACCCACTGAAAATGGATACGAACTACTGACAAAAAAAATCAGCTAAAATAAAATAAAATAAAAAATTGCGGACCACAGCTTGGGATTTAAAACTATCAGCATGAGCCGATCGTTTCCTAAAGCAGCCGCCAAGGGTAACTTGTGTGGTAAGCGATATGTTGCATTCTTTTTGTAATAAACAAAATCGTATTAACAGCTAAAAGATAAGGTACATAATTATAGTATTTTAGCTGAAGAAGAAAAAGGCAAAAAATAGAGAAAAATACATCATCATGCAGTGCAAAAACTTCAAATCATGACAAAAGACTGAGTAGAATCAACGGCAATGATTCCATTTGCTCTAAAAGAATTTCTTGACAAAAAGTTTTCTTCCTTTTTTTCAAATTAAAGGGGAGACACTAACAATATAAAATTACAAGCGAAATAGAACTTACAATCTCCCATTTTTAAGAGCTTTCGTGCCATCATATACTTACAAATCGCCTACCAACTAGGTATTCACAATAACAATTAGATTCGAACTCACTATTTTATAGGTTATGAATTAACCCATTACTAACTGAACCAATTCTTGTTGGCTCCTATGTGAGAAAGTAATTATAAAGTATTGAGCTTACAATACATGGGGCTTGGAAATATTTCATAATGGAGGCCTGATGGGATATGGAGTAATAATTAATTAAATTTTTTAGGTATTTCAGTTATTTAGTATCAATTGTTACTTGCATTTAATTTTGAAATTCTAGAATGGTTTGTTATTAATTTCTAGGGTTAGCTTGATGCCTATAAATAGCAACTCAGAGCATATTTACTTTATAGACTTTTGATTAAGAATTGAATAATATTGAATATTGAGTTTTTCCCTTTTCCCTCTATTTGTCTAGTTTCCCTCTCCTATCTTGTTATCCTCTCTCCTCTAGTCTCTCTCCTCTCCTTCTCTTTCTCTCTTTTCTCTCTTTCCCTTTTTATTTCCTGCATCAATTAGCATCAAAGCCTGGTTCCCACTATTAATGTAATGGGCCAGAATACTGGGCCCTAGGCCCAATTTGTGTTACTTAACAGCATCTAGTTACACTACAAAAAAAAACAGCAAATTAGTGATGAAATTTTTATACGTAGTCAAAATTAACGATGGACTAGTGACGAAATTTAGTTAGTGATGAAATTTTTTTAATCACTAATTCCATCATCACTAATTATTTAGTGATGAAATTCAAAATTAGTGACAAAAATTTTTTGTCCCTAATCCATCGTCATTTAGTGACGGATATCTAATGAAAATCTTATCACAAAATAGTACTGGATTTGTATGAAAATTTCATCACAAATTAGGGATGAAATTTTCGTCACTAATCCGTTGCTAAAATTTTTTTTATTCTGTAAATTTAAAATACCATGTGGCAACCATCACCTCATCACCTCCTCTCTCTCCCACGCCACCACATTATCCCCTTGTCTATATCTAGGGGCGTTCAAGGCCGGCCCGTCCCGATTGGCCCATTCCGGTTCTGGTCTTATTGGGACGGGACGGATCCGTCCCGTCCTAATAAGACCGGAACCCGTCCCGGTCCTGTCTTGGTTCCTTTTTTTTTTTTAATTTTTTAATTTTTATCCTATTTATATAATATTTTTTTTTCATATTTTTTTAAGATTTGAAACTATTGTATGGAACTATGGAACTATGGATATATTTCTTTAGAGTTTTTATATTTGTTAATGATTTGAGATTATTGATGATTAGAATTTTTATCAAGTTTTTATTGTGTTAAAAGCTTTTGTTTAGAGTTTTTAATGACTATTATATGTAATATTTTGAGTTTTTGTTTAAGAGTGGCCAAACAAATAAAAAAGAAAATAAAAAGATGTTTTTATAAGGTTTAAGTCCAAAAAAATATAATTAAAAAAATCAGATTTATTAAAAAATTTAAAAAAATAAAAAATATTCGGGAAGTCCCCGATCCCGTCCCGTTCCGTCCCGTCCCGACCGAGACCGGGACAACCCCAGGACGGGCCGGGACACGGGATAGATTTTTTGTCCCATTACTGTTCATCGGGACGGAACTAGGATGGGCATGTCCCGGTCCCGATCCGTCCCGTGAACAGCCCTATCCATATCATTGCCATGTGTTCGTGACCACCACCTCACCACGTCCTCTCTCTCTCATGCCACCACATCATCCCCTTGTACACGTCATCACCATACGTCCATTATTATAAGCTATCATGTTGCCACCTTGTCCATGTCATTGCCATGTCACAAATTGAGCCAATTTGTGAAGGAGTGGTGGTTCGAGCCCAGAACCTCTTGTGCATGTGCTGAAGCCTTTGCTAGTTAAGTTTAAGCAAAAATAAATAAATATATAATATTTCTGATGACAAATAAATACATATAATAAATATTATATATAAAATCAAATATATTATTTTTATTTCAATTTAATTTTTGTATTTTATTAAAAATAACTAATTATTAATATTTTTATTCAAATATTTAATAAAATAATAAGTATATTATTTTTTTAGTTTTATTTATAATACTTGTATTTTTATATTTTGGTATGTTTTTGAAAAATTATCATATATGATATTTTTATTTTAATAATAAATATTAAAAAATAATTTTTCTATTTTTATAGTGATGAAATAGCAACTTTCATCACGAATCTTGTGACAAAATGTTTTGTGGTAGAAGTTAGTGATGGATTAGTCATGAAAATAATGATGGAACAATTCCATCACTAATTTTCACCCCCAATCCTTTTACAACAGAATTAGTGCTAGATTAGTAATGAAATTTAGTGACGAAATAAAGTTTTGTCACTAATCTGTCGCTAATTTAGTGATGGAATTTTATTTGGTCACTAAATTAATGACAAAATTTTTCCATCACTAAATTTCATCACTAATTTTAGTGATGAAATTTGACATAGATCGGTGATGGAATAAAATTCTGTCGCTATTTATTCCATCACTAAATTTTATCACTAATCCCTTGTTTTTTTTGTAGTGTAACTCGGTTGACTTATAAAACCAGAACTATTGTGCATTTTAATATGAGTCTTTCATCATAATAATAAGTTAATCAGTTCTCTTTGAACACATCTTTCTCCTAAATTTATATTCGTGCATGGTATCAAAGCCAGGCTCTGATACGACCTAGGAGGAGATTCTTCAGCCACGCCTTAGCACTTTCCTTCAATGAAAATAGAAATAATCAAAGGTATATTACATCATTAAATACTCCATTGATCTTAAAAGTCAGGTGCAACTGTAAAAATTCTCTTATGTGCTCAAAAGGATCCTTTGTTTTTTTGCCTTCAAATTGAAGCGTTTGTATCAGCATGATAACAGTTGGATTAATCTTAAAATGAGTAGTAGGAATCGAAGGTAGTGTGATGCTTGACTAAAGCACATCAACTGAAGGCACACTACAAAAAAAACATATGATTAGCGACAGAATTCAGTAACAATTTTTATTTAGCAACGGAATCGTATTAGCGAGGGAATTTGTTTAGTCACTAATTCTTCTATCATTAATTGGATTATTGACGGACTAGTGACGGACTTTTTTTGTTGCTAATCTAATTTTTAAAAAAAATTAAAATGCCACATGGCGCCTCCATCAGTTGCCATCTCACCTCTGCCTATCACATGTTGCCACCTTGCATGCTGCCTTGCGCGCGGCTTTGCCAGTTGAGCTGTAATAAACTTTCTGATTTATTATGCAAAATTATATATATATATATATATATAATATTCTCTTACACAAGCAATTATATATACACATATATATTATTAAAAACTAAAAATAAATTATAAGATAATTTTAATCACAACTATTTTTGTGACAAAATAATTTTTAAATATTTGTCTTACTATTTCTTTCATAATATTTTATCTTTTTAGAAAATTTTTTTTGGATCTAATATTAATTTTCAATGACCCTAATTTTGAATTTTAAATACTAAATAATTTTTTATAAATATATTTTTAAAATTAATTTTTTAATTAACATTGATAAGATATATAATTTAATTATATATGTATTATATTATATTATATTATCTATATGTGTTTTATATATTTGATGAAAACCATTTATAATTAGTAAGAAAATCTTGTTATTCAAAAGATAGCTACCATAATAAAATCTAATAGATCATTCTATACACAAAACTAAATGATTTGAATAAATTATCATAAACAACATTCTCCTACTTATATATGTATCTTATATAATTTATTTTCTTAAATTTTTTTCTATATACCATTTGTTTTTGCGTTGAAAACCAAAATCAATCTATATCTTGGATATTAATTATATCATGAATTTCAAAATTCAAAAATTAAGGTGTTCATATAAATTCATTTTTTGGTTTTTAATTTCTATCACATATTACATCTTTCAATATATTGTATACATAATATAACCATTTCTTCATTATATAAATTTGCATAATAAAATTATTAATATTCTTATGATATTTATTTAATTATTATTAATAATCAAGAGGAATTGATTTTAATGAAATGTGAACAAGTTTTCCAAGAAATTGTCT